TTAAGTGTTCAATTTATAACTTATCAGTCTTATGATGTGTATTGGAGAGAGCAGTCTTCTCAATTGGATAATAAATAATTTACCATTTGAGTTACACTTACCAGGCTACAAATATTGTGGGCCTGGCACAAACTTAATTAAAAGGCTTAGACGTGGAGATAAAGGTATTAATAAATTAGACGAGTATTGCAAGGAGCACGATATCGCTTATCACAAGTCATCAAACTTAGAGGATCGTCACAAGGCAGATTTAACTTTGTTAAATATGGCGAAAGAACGAGCAGCTGCCTCGGATGCAAGTCCAGGTGAAAAACTCGCGGCACGTTTAGTACGCAACGCTATGTCAATGAAAATTAAAACTGGTTCTGGTCTAAAGAAATGTAGCAACAAGTGTTCTCAAAAAGATACAACTGGAAAAGGATTAAAAAATAAATTTAAAAGCGTTATTACCAAAACGAAAAAACAAATTAAAAAATTAAAACCAAAATGCAAAAAAGCAGCGATAGAATTAGCTATGGCTGCTGTCAAAGAATTAGCTGATAATTCATCCATTAAACTTCCTCGAGTCATTCCTATACCACGAACTGGTGGAGTGCTACCTTTAATTCCTATTTTTGCGGGATTATCTGCTGCTGGAGCTCTAGCAGGTGGTGCAGCTGGCATTGCTAAAACCATAAATGAATTCAAGATGGCTAAAAAACTGTTAGCTGAGTCAAAGAGACATAATGAAAAAATGGAAGCTCTTTGCATCGGAAAAGGGCTACACCTTAAACCACATAAAGATGGGCTTGGAATATTCATATCAAAAGAAAAAAACTAAGATATCGGCTACCCAATCGAGCTTTAACTAACTTGGACATTTTAAAGATTGGAAATAGCATCCCATATTTTAGAGGTGTTTTTATGAGAGATGAGCTCCCTAAATACCCCTTCAAAAAAGAATGTGGTGTTATTAATTTAGATAGCTCTAAAAACTCTGGCTCTCATTGGGTAGCCTATGCAAAATACGACGATTATATTGAGTATTTTGATAGTTACGGAAATCTTAAGCCGCCAAAGGAATTCATAAAATATGCGGGTTCTAAAGTGAATTACAATTATGAAAATATACAACGTGACCATCCCTTTAATTGTGGACATCTTTGTTTACACTTCTTAAACAATTTTTGGTCAACGAAGCAATAAAATAAACGGGATCTTTCATAACAGTCCAGTATATAAGCATGTCTACTACGGTTACCATCTCTGGCAATAAATCAGAACTGGTCTCGTATTTTCAACCACCTCTTCATTTATCTGATCAATACGAGTGCGGTTTACTATACTTTTCAGTATTTAATTCAAGACCGGATATTCCAATTAAAACTAGAAATCTGTCTGTGATCAAAATTGAATGTGATCTTGTGTACGGTTCATACTGCAACGGATTACCAACACATTTTATTCATGAATTTGTATCAGATACTGCTCTAAGTCATGGTTATATAGAGATACCACAAACGTTATTTACTTTCCAGTGAACAAAAATATAATTTCATCCATATCTGTTAAGATTGTTGATCAATTTGGTCACTGTATTAACTTCGAACAAGAATATATTCAGTTACGTCTGCACTTAAGAAAAACAAAATGATAGTATATTATAAAAACGCTCCAATAAAAATAAATCGGTTTATTTCTTCTGCGACCGCTAAGGTGCACAGACGTAATACAAAAATTAAGAAACTGACTAAAGCAAATAAAGACTTTCTTAAAGCCCTGGGGTTTAAAGTATGAATATGCTACAGATTACTGAATTACCGCATTTCGACAGTTCGATTGAAAGTTATGAAATCCATTCATACAATCCCTACAATAACAGCTTTAGAGAAAACGATGAAATCAGAATCCCCATACATCAGCAAGACATATACGTGCTACCATCAGCCAGTTCAATTTACATCGAAGGACAGGCAAGGCTGTTCGGTAAAGATGGGAATCCGATCAAGAAAACTGTTACGTTCACTAATAACCCTGTTATGTCTTTGTTTCAAGACATCAGATACGAAATGAATGGTATCGAAATAGACCGCATTAAAAATTCGGGAATTACGTCAACAATAAAATCATACATTTCATTAAATGAAGCAGAAAATAAAGTTGCAGCCTTATGGGGTTGGAACTTAGCGGGATTCCAAAGTGATGGACATTTTAGTGCCGTGATACCATTGAATAAGGTTTTAGGGTTTGCAGAAGATTACAATAAAATTGTGATAAATTGTAAACACGAACTTATTTTGAGTAGAAGTAACTCTAACTTAAATAGTGTTATTCTGACTGATGATGTTGTTAATTTTCAAATAGATATACAAAGAGTTCAGTGGAGAGTGCCACATATAAAAGTGTCAGATCGAGAACGACTAACACTTTTAAAACATTTAGAAAGAGATAAACCTATTCAGATGGCTTTTAGAAATTGGGATTTATATGAGTATCCCTTGCTACCTAAAACTACAAAGCATTCTTGGTCAGTAAAAACAGCTTCACAATTGGAAAAGCCTAGATATGTTATATTTTGCTTGCAAACTAATAGGAGAAATAATAGGACTAAAGACAGTTCACTATTCGATCATTGTGAAGTGACCAATGTAACACTCTTTTTGAATTCGCAATATTATCCCTACGAACCTTTAAGTTTAAAGTTTTCTGAGAACAAGTACAGTATATTATATGAAATGTATGTGAAATTTCGTCAGTCGTATTACAACAGTCCTGTAGACCCATTGCTAAATCTAACAGATTTTAAAGAAAAGGCCCCCCTTTTCATCTTAGATTGCTCAAGACAAAACGATAGTTTGAAAACCGGTCCAGTGGACGTGCGGTTAGAAGTTGAATGTTCCACACCAATACCAGATAAGACAACTGCGTATTGTTTGATTATAAACGATCGACTTGTGGAATACAAACCTCTCAGCAACATTGTGCGCAGGTTATCATGATTGCTGTTGTTGATATTCAGGGATTTAGAACAGAAGCAGATGAATTTATATTAAAAGAAATCGCTATACTGTGTAACAAAAAACTACAAGTGTTTTTAGTTAAGCCACCATTTCCATTTAAAAACTTAACGGAATCTGAAAAAAAGGTAGTTCTTTGGATTCAACGTAACAAAAAGATATACTGGAGTGAAGGATTTGTACCTTATTCCAATTACCAGACTTTGGTTTCCGATATATTAAGAGATAAATGTGTTTATGTTAAAGGTTCGGAAAAAGTTTTATGGTTAAAGCATATTTTAGAAAATAGTAACAGTAATATATTTAATTTAGAAGATAAAGGTTGTCCTAGTTTAGTACATTTATATGATCAATATAAACATTCTGAAGATATGTATAATTGTATTTATCATAACTCTGTATGTGCTTTAAAAAATATATTGTGTTTAAATAAATGGTGCCATGATAATAAAATTTTTATGAAATAAATAAAAACTTGTTTCATTTTTTTACAATATGTTTACTATCTCTGCCAATCCTGTACAATCACGTTTATAAATTGCTTGCAGCATTAAAGCAATGTCATTCTATGTTTATAATTATTAGCATCAAGAACTAGTAACTAAATAAATAAAATATGTATCAAACTAAATATAAACCTCGATATGATATGTATAATACATACAAAATACGTGAATTATCCTTTAATTATTACTGGGGGACGAATAATTCAAAGAAAAGATTAGTGATGGAAATGGCTGATGCTGGATTCTTTTATTACGGAATTAATCCATATGATAAAGCAGCATGTTTTTCATGTGGAGGTATTATAGAAGATTGGGAAATTTATGATGATCCTTGGATGCAGCATGCTATAAATTTTCCACAGTGTTTTTATTTAAACGCTGTGAAAGGAGGGGAATATGTCAGTCAGTGGCAAAACATCGTAAAGAATTGTGTTAGTGAGAAATCTTTCATGTTGCAATGAAAACCGTATATGGAAGCGCATCGAATGAATGATGTCATACAATACACGTATCATTAATGTAAACAAAGTGCTTGAAGTGTTTCACTATTTTGTTACATATTCGATGACACGTTTGGCTTAATGGTTAAGACCCTGGTCACAACTGAGTGCAATATAACATGTTCTTTAACCATCTAAACCAAGTGTCGTGGGTTCGATTCCCACACGAACAAGAGTTGATGTTTGTTCGGGTCTGGATTTTGTAATTATGTTTCTCGATACTGTTTATTTAAATAAAGATATCGTAATAATAAGACCAAATGTATTTCATTAAACACCTGCTAAATATTAAGCTCAAGAAACAGGTCAGAATTTTGAATACACACCCAGATAACAGATCAGGTTAGAATTATGAATACACACCCAGATAACAGATCAGATCAGGTTAGAATTATGAATACACACCCAGATAACAGATCAGATCAGGTTAGAATTATGAATACACACCCAGATAACAGAATAGACCAAGTCAGAATTTGTGCCAGTTTTTAAATGAATTAAAACAGTTGCTCTTAAAATCAAACCAGTCTGAATATTACAAACTGAATCATAAGTTTACGATTAGCCCCAACTGATTGATAGTCTAGTAGGTATATTTCATGTGTGGAATTGGGGTTCCTGGATTTTTTGATCCAGGAACCCCAATTCTACACTACTTACATCGCTCGGGGTACTAAGCCATGGACATTTCAAATGGAAGCTAGTCAATTTTAAGTTTTACTTTCTTCACTCCATTTTACTTTAAAAGGCAAGTTATTAAAATCACTTCGATATTTATTATTTAAATAAATAAAAATCCTTGAATATTTTGTCGTAGCCCGAAATTGTAGCATAAAAATGTCTTTAACTTTTAAATCTCGAATTTTCGGATTTTTAACGAACTTTCCAATCAGTTCAACTTATAATAATAGTTCCCAGAAATGTAAAATTGTGTAAAGCGTAGTGAACTAACATAACACAAAGACAAATACAGTAAATATATTTTATTTGATTCCACTTTCGCGTCGACATGTTCTACGTACATTCGTAACATTTTGTTTCAGTTTAATCAAAACTTCGCAAGACAAACATCAAAGGCCTGTTTAACAAATTATTTTATAAGCAACGCGGTTCTGGTTACAAAAGTAAATACGTAATACACTTTTGGTAACTGTAATTCATTTAGGATCAAACTGACACCTGTGTTTCCATTAATTTAATAATTATTATATTGTATATTATTACATAACTATAGATACAGTTGACTGGTGTTTCCCTCATCTATAGAATTCCATTTGACAAGAATATTGCAGTGGTACCGCGGCCATGTAGTCATGGTAATGCTCGCGCTCCCCGGAGCTGCGCGTTATATTGGTAGAGGTCCAAAACCGGATATAATTTACGAGCAGTAATTAATTTCACAAACAAAGAGAAATATAAGTCGGGACATAAATAACATAAGTATATTTTTACACACAATGCTTTCCGAAATTATTTCCAATAAAATTAAACTTTATCTTAATATAGCTGTATATAAAACACCGGGTCATTTCACATGATTTGTTGTTATTGTCGCATTGTGCGTTCACTTCTCTAAAGTTTTGATCTTGAAGTAATAGTCAGCTTTGTAGTCGTACCAGTCGAGCACTCGCTTGTCATACCATATGTAAGCTCCTTTAAGGGTATCAGGAGCGTCCAGTACAAGATATATGGGAGTATCAGCTGCCTGGTCGATGTCGTAGAAACCGACTCCTCGGGTCATGTCGGTCTGCACCAGTCCTGGGTGCATGGAGTTCACGGAGATGTTCTTCGCTTCGAGCTCCTTCTGCTGCACCCTGGTTATTGCACTGAGCGCCACTTTAGCCACCCTGTACGAAGCAATAGATCCACCATCAGCTATGTCTCCATAATCAAAAGTTCCTTTCTTGACTCCTTCCAAAAACCAATTGGCGAATTCGTTGACATCTTCTACAGTGAGTTCTTTCTTGGATAGTCTTTGTATCCAGTATTCATTGCGTATATTCGACAGATGTCCACAGTCACTGGATATGTTGAGGATGCGTCCGTTGTTCCTGACCAAGGGGAACAGCAGCTCTTGGATTGTCAGTATGCTGAAGTAGTTGATGTCCACAACAGTTTTGGACGCTTCGTAGGTGCGGTCTTCGATGTTGGCGACGGCTGCATTATTGATGAGGATATCGATACCACCGTACTTCTCTTGAATGTGGTCTCTGAACTTGGCCACGCTGTCCCTGTCGGTAACATCGAGCTGGTGGTACTGGGCGTGAAGGCCGAGTTTGTCCAGCTTGGCGACTGCCTCCTGCCCTCGGGATACATCTCTTGAAGTTAAGTAGACGACGCCATCGAATCTCTTCAGCAGTCCCTTGACTATAGCGAAGCCGATCCCTTTGTTAGAACCGGTGACCACAGCAACCTTCACCATAACTGTACCGAGCGGTGTCTCTCTGCGCAATGAGCAATTATAATAACTGCTCTATAATAGTTATATAATTATAGTGCGATAACACAAAATATTGTGTGTCATCATTATCCGCTGTGCTCAGTGAACTCCGATAAGTTTATCGACGACACTTATCATCCTGTGTTGTATCAAATATACTGTTTTGTGCAAACTATTATATTTTTACACGGTTTATTTCACATAGCAGTTTTTGTATAACCCACACCTGTATAAGTAAATCGAAGATTGATTTTAGAACGGGGATTTAAGTGTCCCACACTTAAATCCCCGTTCTATGCTTCGGCACGGATGGGTCGACTCGACCGGAGTGAACCAGAACCATCGTGTGTTGTGTTTTGCCTTGTGCCTATCCCTCCCCAATCTCTAAATCCCCAAAACCCTTACCTCTAAAAGGTCGGCAACGCACTCTTAATTCTTATGTTGTTGCGGGCGTCCATGGGCGGCGCTGATTGCTTACCATCAGGCTTTGCCATCAGGTAATCCGTTTGCTCGTTTGTCGTCCTGTCACATAGAAAACACCACATAGAGATTCCACAAGTCACTTAACTAGAAACAATTTATCTAATCATAACTAATGCTCTGTATAACAAACATAAACTATAAATAGAAAAAAGTAATATTTTTAAACGTAATATAATCACTTATCAATGATGGAGCATCGCACGCCCTGATAACGGTTATCATAGTCGCACTGTCACAGCATTTAATACAAACAGCTCTCGATGTAATTACAAATGGCTGACAATAAAATTAGTCTAGTTTGTATGCACACAAGTTTATAATGAACTGCGGATACATTGTTAATGTTAACTCAGTGTTGCTAGGATTAACAAGCACACTTATCGGTCGCTGCACTATTTAAATGTTTATTTTTGATGGAAAAGTATCGCCCGATGTAATTAATCGGTTGTGATAATGTGTAAAGTTGAAAAAGAGACCGAATTTAATTATTCACCGATGTTGTTATTTATTAAAAAGCAAAGCCATTTCTGATACCAGCTCTGGTCCAGTTCCACACCGAGCGTTCTAGTCCAGGTTCTGTAATTGCATGGCCATTACTTTCTAATAGTCACAAATCTGAGTTAGGACTTTGCAATTAATTTCACTTGATCTACAATCGAGTTCTATGTAATAATTTAGTTCAATTTATTCTAATTCACAATGTTTCCGTCGTGTGTATTTTTCTGTTCTAGGTGCCATTGTTTGCATAAATAATCGCGAGAAAAATAATTTTCAATGTGAATAATTATTAATTTAATTGCACGAAATCTACAATTGTTTTATTCACATACAATTGTTTCCAGCCCAAAGCAACGTTTACAAATGAATAAAAAACTGTAGATTAGCTAACAACAACACTTTACGAACATTTATTTTTATCTCATTTGAAATAATCTCTTACGGACTACGACTAGCAGTGTCATGGGCTTGTTTCCATACTTCATGAATGTATAATGTAGGTAATTGGAACATTAGTCTACATTTTTGAGATTGAATTTTTGTTTCTTTATAACAAAATTCGTCGTAATATTTTGTTGACAAATATTTTATGAATAGATTTGGTTTATTATTGGATGTTTAACATAAACATGTTCAGACAGTTTCCTCTAAAGGGCTACCAGAGACAATAATATAATATTATCATCATCATCATCATCATCGCTATCATAAGCAACAAGATTGCTGAGTATACGGCACGATCACCGGCGTGAAACAACTACAGCGTTGTGTTTCATCGTTGAGTAAGTTTACCGCAGACCCTTCCCTCATCCATCCGCAATCCTTAAATATCCGTTACTCTAATTCCCAAAAGGTCTCGTACCCCCTTTGGTGTTGCGAATGTCCATGTGCGGCTCCGGCTGCTTACCGGTAGGTAATCAATCTGCTCATAAACGACCTCATAAAAAACATAGACTAGATGCACTAATACATATTTAATTAGCAAAAAAAAACTTATGTATAAAGAGGATTAAAGAGGATTAACTCCTGAGCTTTTATATAATCTTATTTTACCTGATGTATCAGGAAAATTATTTGAACGGAGCGTAATAATATTGTAACAAGAGACCAACAAAGAGAAATATCCCGCGCCATATTGTGACGTCGACAGTTGACATCTGTCAGGCGTGTCAGTGTGGCGGCCATATTTATTTCCGTGTGTACCCTGTTTGGGATTGTCGGGATTATCTAGCTGCAAGTAGCTGGCAACAATCTCGTGGGCTCCGAGGTGCCGAACTAGGTAGTGATGTGCGGTTGACCCAGTTCCCAAATACTCGGTTTAGGTAATGACGTGAAAATAATTACTAAGGCTACGTAGTGTTTGTACCCATCTCTGTCGATAAAATAAAAAATGTACCCTGCTTAATTAGCCGAACTGAGAGAATTTCTTAAAACTCATTCTACTTCAGTATTCATGTGAGGAACCAGTGAGAACAAATCACAGCATGCATACAATATCAGCTCAGTGTCTGTTGCAGGCTACTGTAAATTGTCACTGGAGATTTTTGTCACATTGTTTTGGACAGCTGCCAGGCGGCCTGGCAACCAAGACTCATGAGCTTATGCCACACAACTGTTTGTCTTTTATCATTTATTAGATTTAAGTGTCGTCCATTGTGTAGGCAGCATTACTGCCTAGCTTTATATTTCCTTGTTGACTGTACATCTTACAACTCTGTGCAATTTGCTTTACAAGTATAATTTCTGTCGCATGCCAACATATCAAGTTTTATTTTCTGATGGTAAGCAATAGGTTAGTCTCTTGACACCCCCAAAATCGAAGAGTTACATATGCGAATGCGTTGCCTGGTTTATGTGGGTTTGGGATTTGAAGATTGAGTAGTTAGTCACATTTTTTCTTATTTCATTTCTACTTGTGTTTTTTTATATTTCTTTTTTTCTTTTCATAAATTACTGTCATCCCACTTGCATAACTATAATTAAAAAATATATTGTTTATATTCACTAAGATACGGCGGTAAAATATTTTTAAAACATTTCCGATAACATTCATTTGGGATCAAGTTACGTGTCTTCAAAAACAAGTTTTAGATCATTTTCTTAAGGAATAAATCTGTATTTTTCATCAATTACTAAATAAGTAATAGAATAGAAGCTTACAGTTTGTTGACCTGGTGCCAAGCCACAGTGTCACCCTGGCCCGCGGCCAACCAGCTCGGCCGGACCGGTGCTACGCTAACTGGGAACATGCAAAAGGTTGATTCATGATTCTTACGTGCTTTGTAATAATTTCGAGAACCTATCACACATTGTAAAACGGAATTGCAAGAAAATTGCAACTACTTACTGTAGTCTATAGCTGCCTCACAACAAATATTGTGATCATATTGCAAACCCCAAAGTCATTTTTTATGGTATAAGTTGGCAAACGTGCAGACGGATTACCTGATGGTAAGCAATCGGCGCCGCAGGTTCCGGATATTGAAGGATTGAGAAGAGATAGGGGAGGAGGAGGGATTAGGCCTCCGGTAACCTCACTCACAGGGCGAAACACAACGCTGTGGTTGTTTCACGACGGTATTCTGTGAGGCCGTGGTATCACTCCGGTCGAACATGTAATAGCAGTATACATTTTATAGTTTTTGGATAATGTATTGAAGTTTTGAAATTTGGAGAAGGTTGCTGCACTGTGTGTAGCGTATAGTAATCGATATAACTGTGTTACAGTCCCATTATATTGTACAATCAGACTTATTGACAGAAATGTCTAGTGGCCACTTTTGCACTTAAGAATAGGATGTGTGACATACATATTATATGTAAGTACGTACGGTCAGCTGCCTTTTCTCTGCAGCTGACTGTACCTATTTGATTTGGTAGTACTCAGTGAGTAGTCCTTCTGCCTGCTGATGCTGTGTGGTCATCTTTTAATTAAATCCTCTCAATTGACGGCGCGTCGATTGTTTTAATATTCTCCTTTGCAAGTTTTCGCGGGCTTTACGTTTAATTGAAGCAGTTTGTGGCTTTTTCAGTTGTGACACAGTTATTCAAACGGTCAGTGTTAGTGCTACGAAATGGACAACTTTTTCAACTCACAATGAGAACTTTTTTGTTATATAAACTGTGAGTACATTTGCATTTTAAAAGCTCGCAAATGTCTCCGTTTATTTTTACGATTTTGTTATTAAAGAAAATATGAAAAGAGTCTGTTGTTGATATTAAACATTTATTAAGACTTTACAATAACAGTTTCGCTTTATTATTACATGGTAACACTAAAGTGTACAATAGAAGTGTTTCCTGAAAGCGTGTAACATAAAATAGGATTGTTGTAAAATTAATAAGTCAGGCACCAGTAACCTGTAAGTAAATGCCGCCACACTACCACACCGCCACACGACCGCTTTGTGTGGCAACATGGCGCTCACGCTGCAGACACCACGAGCTGATTTTGTAAAGTGTGTCAATTTCGTAAAGTTGGTCGGAAGCGTTGAGGCGATGGCTTTTACTGAAATTTTAATAAAGCCGGCCACAAACGATGTTGTGTTCGACGTGACAACACTTTGTACACCACACATAGTTTGTCACGCGACGCCGCTCGCCTCAATTCGGCTCTAACTAAACTTTACAAGCGTTCATTATATTTGCAGGAATGTAACGAACAGATATGTAGGTATATGTTTGTATCAAAAGGTTTTTGTAGCAATACGCACAAACAATTGTATTCCGAATAAAAATAAATTTGTTTATTTGAATTAACCATTAGTAAGTCGATAAACAATCATTTCCAAGAGGGAATGGCTGAAAAGTGAATTTTATAATGTATAACATTTATCTTCCGAGTACCTGATAAATTAAACTAAGAAGGTAATCAGTATATGAAATAACGAGCAGAAAATTCTTTTAAAATGAATAACCGACTAAATTGAGCAATTGATTATCGCGGGATACGTTTTAATGAAGTGTAATCTTATTAAAAATTAGAGGAGGTCGGACCAAAGTGGCGCTGATCAGCTACGTTTTTAAAGTTTGGAGACTTCACAGGGACGGGGCAGGAATCTCAATTCTATTAACGATGGAATAATTTACCAGATACTTGTTCGTAA